GGGCGGCGGCAGCGGGCGCTGTGGTGGGAGGTTTGGGGGGCTACGCCATGGGACGCGTCATGTCGGGGATGCACTATAACTTCGACAGCCCCGATGAGTACCAGTGGTGGAGGAATAACGCGGCGCGTTACCCCAACCAGGTTTACTACCGGGATTACAGCAGCCCCGTCTCGCAGGACGTCTTCGTCGCCGACTGCTTTAACATCACGGTGACCGAATACAACATCGGACCCGCCGCCAAGAAGAACATGTCAGAGGCTGGGCCCGCAGTGAAACAAACAAAGGTGGAGCTGGAGACCAAGGTGGTGACGAAGGTGATCCGGGAGATGTGCGTCCAGCAGTACCGCGAGTACCGCCTGGCCTCCGGCATCCGGCTGCACCTCGCCGACGCTTCCCTTGCCACCCTCCTCCTCCTCACCCTCTTCGCCATGCACTGATGCGCCCCGGACCCCATGGCTTTGAGATGTCACCTGTGTCCCTGTGGGGACCCCCCAAACCTCCTCGTTCTTGCTTGTGGTCGTCTTTGGTGAAGAGCCCTTGGGGCGCACGGGCACCAACGCTCCCCATCACCTCCCCGGAGGCTCCAGTTTAGGCAACCGGATGAAAATTTTCTTCTCCACCCCAAACGCGTCCCCATCGTGGCAGGACAGCGATGGAGCTGGATGCCCAAAAAATGGCCTTCATCACCTCCTCCTCCTTGGGGCTACCCCAAGAGGGACCAGGCAGAGAGGAGATCCCTGCAAGAGCGTTTCCAAAAATCCTCTTTGCTAACAAGCAGGGTTTTACCTAATCCCCTTAGACCCACTGCCACCAAAACCCCTTTCCCCAGCACAACGCAGCCTTGCGCCCGAGCACCTATGTACCCCACAGGGGTTTTAGGAGGGTCAGGTATGGGTTTTTCAAGGAACAAGCTGCCCAATTGCAATTTGAACCCTTTAATCCTAAAAACCACTCTTCCTCGTGTACATATGGACCTGCCCGCGCCGCACCTTGCATGCTGCAAATACCTCCTGCAGCAATACACAAAAATAAAGTGATTTCCACACACCCCTCACCCCCAGCAAGGCTGAAGCCCTGGCCGGGTTTCAGTTGACCCCCGCGCCACTTTGCTTTTGGTTGAGCCTCGCTGTCTTTTTTAGCCTGTCTAAAGGCAAAAAGTGCTGCTGAATGCCCCCAAAAAACCCCAAAGCTGTAACGCTTGGTGTGTTACAGCCTGAGAAAAAGCTATTCTGGATGCGCTATAGGTGACAGGTCATGCTCACACTTCATCACCTTGACCTAAAGGATGTTAAAATACAGCAAAAAGGATGCTTGGGGCAGGGGGTCAAGCACGTAGCAAGAGACTTAAAACAGCTAAATTGGATGGTTACGGCAAACAGCATCAAGAAAACCAAGCCTGAGGGATGCGAGATGCTAAAAACCCCCCACGTTTTGCAAGTAATTTGTGGAAGCGGCGGGTGAAATTCTTGCTTCTTGTGTTTGGGTGGATGCTGGGTTGTAGGTAACCTGTAGCATCTGTAAAGTTGCGCTTGCTGAACCAGTTGCCCTGAGTTATATTTAATATTTCTTGTGTATTTTTTTTTTTTTCTTTTTGCAAGGCACTGAATGACACCGTCCTAAATGATTTTTTGCATCGGTGTAAGCTAAGTGAAGAGATATATAGAGATATATAGAAAAAATAGAGAGAAAAGAAATCTTTCAGGATATTCACCAGAAAAGCAGGTCTTTGAGGTAACCCGTACTTTGTGATACGCGAATGTTTTGTAAATCCGTAACGGTGCATGCACGAAATTTGCCGTTCCGATACTTTTCTAAGTGTTCGCCGTCTGGTACAAATTAAAACGGATAAAGCCAAGGTGCACGTCAGCCTCCTTCGTGCAAACAGCTCTCACCCATCCCCGCGGCGCCGCAGCCAGAAGCGACATTTTTTGCCCTTTCTGTCCCTGCCTCCCCAGCCTGTGGGCACCTTTGTTCCCTTTCGGGACTAAATTTGGCCTAAACCCCACAGGTTCAGTTAAGCTTTTCTCCTCCCCTGCTCCCGCTAATGGTATCGCTACCGTCCAACAAAGAGTTTCTAATAAAGCCAATGCACCAGGTGGGGCCGGGGATTTCTTCTCCCCATAGGAAGTCAACACCCATTTATACCTTGTATTTACTACATCTATTTTCTGTCTAATAAAAGAGTTTTTACATTTGCTGTTTCAATGGCGTTAAGCCCGACCAACTTCACGTGAAGCCCCAAGCCCTACTTAATGTTGCCAGAAATGCAAATCTCCCCAGTACCTAAACTAGCATCACTGTTAGACGACTTAAACTACAGCAAGGGTTAAAAATCACAATTAAAAAGATGGAAGAGTTTGGACCCTTCAGCCAGACGGTGCTTTAATTTTAAGCTCAAGACCAAGCCTTGGACCTGTTTGGTTTGAGCCTACGCAGCATGCGATTTACTGAGCTGCAAACCCCGTCGCCTGCAAGGATGCTAAAAGATTTGGTCTTTAAGCGGTGCTCCAGGTAAACCCCAAATGTGACTCTCTGGCATACTTTTGGCAGAAAAATAAAGGAAAAAAAATCCCTAGTCAGCACTAAATAGATGATTAATCCTGCATGCAAGCAGCTTGCCTCCAAAGAAGAAACCCTAAGAGGTCCATAATGGGGATCCAGAGCTCCCATAGGTGCTTGGAAAGAGCAAAATAGACATTTTTTGCTCAAAAATGGCTACTGGGAATCACCACGTTATCTCTGAATTTTGGTAAGTGGAGCAGCAAATGGGGAGTGGGGCAAAACAAAGAGATGGTAGGCAAGGTTTAGCTTTGGAGCTAGTTTCCCAAATGAGGAAAATAAAAATAAAATGTCAGGATTCCACCCTTCACATCTTCCCTGTGCAAAAGCAATTTCAAAAACGGCGATGGAAAGGAAGATTTGAGGAATAAAAAGCCCCCGTGAATTTATTGGGTCGGTCCTAAGCATCCCTACAGCCGCTGCTCATCCTACACCAGCTCAGCATCCAACTCCTTAACGCATCCCAAAAGCTCTCCAGCTCCAAACTTTACCGGGACGTTTTATTTAGGATGTTATTTTGCCCTAAATACTCAAAAGTGAATAGCTCAGACTTTTCCCCATGTCATTTAAAGATGAACACACACACACACAAATAAATACAAGATCTCCAAAGCCCCCAGCTCTGCTGCCCTGCAGGGAAAATGCTTCACGGGTCCCCAAGCTACCACGGGGTGGTTTATACAGCCCTTCGTATTAATTAAGATTTTTCAAGGTAAAACGAGAGCGATTTAAAGCGATTAGAAGAGAAAGCGGTAGCGATGAAGATGCGGTCCTTCAGCGGTGGGCTTGGAGAACCCATCTGCTCATAGACCTTGCACTGGCGAGCTGCAGCCCAGCAGGAGGAGGAAGAACCCCCAGCAAAGAGGGGGAAAAAAACCCCCCAAAAACCAACAAAGAACTGGGAAAACCCCAGGAGAAGGAATACCCTGTTCTCCGAGGTGAGCACATGGATATGGCCAGGAAGGGGCTGGCAGCGCCAGCCCGGCAAACTCCGCTGAGGAGCGTTTGACCTCAGCCAGCAGCAATACCAAAAACTAATTTTTAGCCCCAAAACCCCCCATCTTCCCCGCGCTTCACCCAGCATGGGGAAGCAGCTCCAACCCCCCCAAGCAGCGGGAAACACCGACGTCGCGAGCTCAAAACCCCGCCGTTTCCCCCGCCTCTGCACGCACAGCACCCAATTTTTTTTAACCAGCGTGGGCTCCCGCGTGGGTAATTGGGTTTTTTGGTGATTATTGGAGCCGCTTGCTCGCTGCTGCGGGGTCGGTGGGGAATGTCAGCGCTTTCCTGGCTCCGGCAGCCCTTGAGCGAGACACGGTCCCAGCCCTCATGTCCTTTAAGGACGGTTGGATCCAATAATCCTGGAGCCCTCTTGGCCCCTAGGAGCAGTCTGTTGAACTAGACAGCTAATTAATACAGAGCAATTAATTTAAATACTCCAAATCCTGCAGCGTGGGCAGGAGCCTTGCTGAAAAGCAACAAGGGGAAGCATTTCTGATTTACCAGGCTGATAACAAATACCCTCCAAAGTACAAACGCAATAAAATTTTGAGGGTCCTTTTTTTACGCTCTCCTCCGAATCGCCTGTCCCACATCCCTCATCTCCACAAATAAGCATCCCCCAGGCAGGCAGAGCAAGCGAATATATTTTTCTCACCTGAAAAAATACCTGCAAAAAGAGGATTTTTGCTGCACAGCTGGACAGTTTGCAGAGAGCTGGAGGAGAAATAGTCTTATTTGGAGGCTTGAAATGCAAAGCAAGTGCTCAAACCTCATCCGGGGGTGATTTTATCCGTGCGTCTGGTCGGGCGTAGGGGATTCGAGGAGCCGCATCGCCGAGCGAACAGCACCATCTCCCGTCCGCTCCCGGCCCCGGCTCCCAGGATCAACCCTGGCGATGGTTTTGCAAGGCTGGGTCTCCCAAAAAACCCTCCAAAATTGGGCTGAGCTTTGCAGCCGGCCGCGCTGGAGGCCGGCGCTCGCTCTGTTGCTGTTTCAGAGCAAAATGCACGGAAACGCTTTGACTTTGCCTGCAACCGCTCGCCTAGAAAAACACGTCTCCAAGGGATCTCGGCATCTGGGGGTGCTCAAGAGCAGCCCCGCTCCCCTAGCTGAACACGCAACCCCAAAACTCCCCAGCACAAGATGGTTAACGAGGACGTTAACAGCTTTTAAGGCCTTTTCCTACAGCGCAGCCCTTTGCAAGGGCTGGAAATTAAACTGGGGGGTGAGATCGGAGCATGTCCCCATGTATTGCATGCTGGCAAGAGGGGGAAAGCAAGAAAAATTTGGGAATGCGACGTAGGAAGCGCGGCATCATCCCTGCGGCGCGTCTGAGCTCAGGCTGTAAATCAGGGCTGCGAGCAGAGGATGCTCACGACGGGGTGTGGACGTAAAAGCAGGTCTGGATGCAAAATATGTGCGGGAAAAATGCAAATTTGAGCTGTGGCTGGAGTTTCTGCCGGGTTTATTGTTTATTTTAAACAAGCACATTAAAAAAAAACAAACAACCCCTCGCTGCATTAGATGGATAGTTGGATTTGGTCAGCCTAAAAGCTGTCCCTGAAGCTGGGGGAGAGACCACAGCGATTTTGACGGCTGTAAGAGCATCGGCCTCAGGGGCATCCTGTGCTCGCCTGCTCCGAAACGCTATTAAATCCCTCAGGAGCCAAATGGCTTCGGTAGAATTTAAGAAAGTATTGTAAAAGAGCCCAGAAAATCAATGTACACTGGCCAGGGCTCCTTCCACCCTGAGAGAGGCAAGACCGGACCCAGCCCGTCTCCTGGGGCGATGACGGGGATGCTCGCACCCCCAAAGCCCCTAATTCCAAGGGGACACGACCCGCTCACAGACACCCAGGCTCAAAAACACTTCGGG